GTTCAATGTGTTGCGGATTTGAATCAACCCGCAACAAAGAAAAAGGCGAAAAGGGTGTTTAAATATAAAAATATAAGATACTTTTATTTTCGTGTTTTTTACAACTTTTGTGACGTACGGTGGCCGTTAATAATTAAGTATAACTCAAGAATTCAATGTTAAATGAAACAGTATTTAGTTACAACCGCAAATAAGTACTTAACAAGAACAAAGAAGTAAAAGTCAACCAAAGATGATTAACTATTTCAGTGAATACCTTGTTAGTATCGCGGCTCGACTTAACGTCCGGTAAATCCTAAATCAAAACACAAATCATCGACGCACAATAATTCACACTAATTCAACTGGATAGTTCCACTCGATAGTGACTTAATAATCACCGCAGTCAGGAGCCTGACACCACTATTTATACATCTGGTGGAAAACATATATTCATAAGTCCAGATTGTCACGCTCGAACTTCGGTGTCAGTAGTTACTCATTTTCTTCCTATATGACAATAACTAAATTGTTCGTGTGTGGGAGTTAAAGCTTTTATATTTGTCAGGATACAGTCCTTTGTTTGTAGTTGTTTGTTAAGATCAAAAGAAATGTGATTTCTTCGAGTGAATGTGTAAGAAAGAAGAAACAAGGGAGAAAGTGAAGATGAAAGTGTAATTGTCCCGTAGCTTGGTGAGGAAGACCGCTGAATGTGTAAGGGAATTTATTTTCGGTCCAGTATCGTGACCTGTTGCCGTCTGTTTTCGTTGTCTCTCCTTACTGTTTTGTCTCTCTAGAAACTTTGCTTAAATACCCTTCAAGGGGATCATGGATCATTTTTTTTTTTTTTTTTTTTATTGTTGGCAGGAAGCGACCCGTTGGTTGAATAATGTTAAACATATTTTCATTAATTTATTAACCGGAACAATACGTAAACCTCCGACTGAGAAACCATTTTTGTCATTTGGTGTTTGAATGCATTATTGCTCATCGTAATGACTGACCATAATTTTGATTTAAAAAGTCAACTTTAATTAAAAGAGAAAGTACTTTACAAAGAAGAAAATTTATATAAAGTGCTTTAATTACGAGATCATCCATATTAAATTTACGTTCTTGTTCTTATAGCATTTCACCTTTCTTGGCAGATCTTCTATAATCACAATGTGAGATATTCAAAAACAAAAGTGATAAAAATATAAACAAAAATAAATTCAAATCGGCTAGACTATATCTACAAAAACACATATTAAAAAAAAATTAAATTTAAAATTTCATAGTCCCCTCTCCTTTATGCGCATGTGTAATCTCATCAACATAAACGCCACTTTTCTATTGAAGTCCTAAAAGACGAAATGCGTTACATGAAAAAAAGATTTTCACATTTTTTTTCAGAGATTTTACTAAGATTCTTCTTGATATATAAAAATTTATATATCGTTTTCCCATCATGTATAATGTAAATTTATTGCTAATGATTTCGCTATAACAAATCTTTTTAAATAAATTTACGACTGAAGTGCATTGAAAATCGAGGAGAAAAGTATTATCAGTCGTCAAGAATTAATGCAAGCGTTAATGATTGATTAACATTGTCATTATGTGTATTAGGTGTGTGCAAAACTTGCCAGCGCTCTTTTTCGAAAAACAAAAACTGAATGCGTTGTCGAAAAACAGTTTTTTTGCTGGTAACTTTTGCATTATAACGTAAATGCATTTTACTCTTTAAGTAATGCTTTGTAATGTTTTGTCATTGTAATTCTATAGGAAAATCAAATAATTTGTGGTCCTAAAATTATTTACACTCCATTTTTTGTAAATGAAATATCAGGAAAATGGATTTTCAGTGGTCAGAAATTAAGACAAACATTACTTATAGAGGTGAATAAAGATCTACATAATAATATCTTAACACAAAAAAGTAGGTAATTCTAAAAATTTGCTAAAAGTGAGACTACATCATGAAAAAATGTCCCAAATATAATAAAAACATTTTATTGTCAAAATATTTGTGTTATTATTAAGTGGAAAGATCAAATGATTTTTTGGTGTAAAAATTATTTTAAAAAATCCTTTTGGAGATTTTGGTTAATAATCTTGTTTTTATTTTTATTTTTTTGCGTCAACACGAAATCCTAAATTTATAGGGGAAATTTGAGCGTCTTTTTGTAGTGAAAAACACATTGATTTAGAAATTCTTGCAAAAATTAGATAATTATTGGATTTTAATGAAACTTTCAGGCCTTATTCAGAAATTAATTAATATTTTTAAACTTTTCTTTTATAGAAAATATTTGTAAAATTTATTTTTCTTATTCAGAAATTAATTAATATTTTTAAACTTTTCTTTTATAGAAAATATTTGTAAAATTTATTTTTCAAATCTGTTACCTCCCACTTATTTAATTTTACGAAATTTCGAGAAATTCTTTTTTTGTATCACTTTAGTAATTATATTTGTTATAAGAAAAAGTCCTCGGGGAATTTGAATTAACATTTTTTTATTTTATGTCAAAAAGAACCCCCAGTTACAGAAAATCTTTCCTGAATGGTAAAATAAAAAATGCAATAAAACTACATTTTTTTTAAATCAGAAAAGCTTGTAATTGCTTTTATGTGTAAATTAATTATGGTCTTAACTTAAGAAAAACAGTTTTTCGATAAATACGTTTTACAAGAATTGTTTTCATTTTTAAAATTTTAATTATAATAATTTTAAATCTTTTAAAATTCTGTATTAATTTATTGCGTTCAAGTGATATTGTTATTAAATTAAATTTATTATAAATGGAAAAGCTCACTATAATTCATCAACCGCCACTATTTTAAAAACAATTTTGAATTTGTATATATATATATATATATATATATATATATATATACGTATCGAATTTTGTAAATACGGATGTCCATACATGACATTATCAAACAATAATAATTTATATTGGTAATATTCTAATATTTTCTAAACAAGTGTTTTTTCGTAAGTAAGGTTATAAAGCCAAAGTTCATAAAATTCAAAAAAATATTATATTGTTTAAAACATTTAACTACTAAGTAGTTAAAAATTATATATAAAAAAGGCTTCATGGTGTATTCCCAAATTAATTTTCCAGTTATGTTCCCCTTATTTAATTTATCAAACATCAGGTTGTGAATAAATCACTGAACATGTTAGAAAAACACCCACTACATGTTAAAAAAGATGCTTGTCTGCGATATGTTAAACTAAAAGAAAGTAATATTTATTTCAATCGAGATTAATTAAATTTTAATTCAGCTACTAATTTTTCTCAAATACCGTTTCAGAAAAGTATATTTTATTTCTGAAAGAACTTTTTAATAAAGAGAATTGTTTTGTGTAACAGATCTATCAATATAAATGAATTTATATATTTTACTGTTAAGTAGAAAAAAAGAAGATTCTAATAAATTTAAATTCGGTTTGAAATACACCAAAGTATTTTATTTTATTTATTGGGAATATTAAATTTAATACATTAGCTTGAAATTAAAGCTAAAATTAAAACTTCAAGATTTTTCATTTTTTAAAAAATTATTTTAAATTTAGGTATCGCTTTTTTAAGGTACTTTTTGGAAAATTCATATTTAATTTATAGAAATGAAATATTTTAATGATAAGGCTTATTCGATTTTTATTAATTAAAACATTTTAATTAGTTTATTAAACTATTACTATACATTATGACCCCAATTCAAATTCCGGTCGAGTCACTTTCGCCGGAATGCTCTTGGAAAACACATGAATCCGTCCTCTTTTCACCACAGTTATATGTTACATAGCAGAGTAGACTGGGCTCTTTTGCCTTAGGTGGCAACCAGAAAAGGAAAAGCTTGAATTGAAAATTCCAAACGGTGCAGATAGCAACAGGAAAACACTTCCTTATTTTTCTCAATAACGCACGGCAATTCTCAGAAAAAAGGAATCTGTGGAGAGTTATAATCGCTGACGTCCTGAAGAGAGATTTTTTTGGATATTTTTCTAGAAAGATTAAAACAGTAACTGGGAGACTAACAGTCCTGACTGCCAGAGGTCAATTACGAAATTTGACTTCAAACACTTAGGCAATAAACATTTTGTATGATTTTTATTTATAGCTTCAACTGAAATCTTAACGCAGTTTCTAAAACGTATAACTGCGAAAAGCCATTGGCGCTCGCAGATGAAAATGTATCAGAAAATGTCAAACACGAGATAACTCGTAATCGGCGTCGTAATAAAACAACTGCCAATCATCAATTATTCACCAAATATTACCTGTTTCATTAAAAAAAAAATGTTTATAAAAATATTACTTATTTTCTCTATGATTTTTTTTTCTAACCTCCAAGCCGAAGTTACGATTTTTAATTTTCTTTCATTACGCAACAAAACATACCTTATGATTTTTTTCCGGTCACCATAAAATAAAATGCAAAATGTTCAATGACTTTCTTAACAAAAGGAATTATTCCCTTGGATAATATTGTGGGTAGAGGGAAGTTTCAAGAGAAAGCTTTAAGTACCTTCTGAACAGCCTGGATGTCTGCTTAGCAGATGTACCCTTCTTGCTTATCAGCTCAAGTCCCTTCCTCCTTCCTTACAACCTGTTTTGACCGATGCTTTAAATCAAGATGAGCCCATCAGTTTTACTTTTCCGATATGTATGCTATTTTTCGATTTATGACAGTTGTGTAACCATCATGACTTGACCTTTTTTTTATTTTAAAACAGTAAAAAAATAAACTAATTTTTTTACAGAATTTTAAAACTAAAAAAAGTGATGTAACTGAACCCGGAACAAGCTGCTACGATAGATCTCTATAATTATATATTTTTGTATTGAGATAGAAGAAAATAAAAAGGGAGAAAATTAAATATTATATCCAAAAAAAAATTTTGAAAGAAAATTGTAAAATGCTTGTTTAATGTGGCTACTTACATTCTACACAAAATACATATTTCCGCGCCAAAAATAAAAATAAGACCGGTGTCGGTCACGTGACACCGGCCAAACAAAATGTCCGACAGCGAAGAGAGCACGTTGTCTGTGTCTAAACGCGTGCGACTGTCTATGTCACAGGATGGTTCAGGTGATGACATTGTACGTATACTTTGTTACGCAAACAAACATAAAATTATTTATTTAGCTATCGGAATTGCGAATATATATAAATACATATTTTTTAAAAACAATCCTTTTTCTTTTCTCTTTATCTTAATTGTCGCCATCTTCCTCCTATCTTTACCCCATTGCCAGAATTCTAAAAATATTGTTTTTTTTTTCTTTTTTCCCTGAGTTAAGAGTTTATTTTTTGTTGACAGTGTATCCATTCTTTTATCTTTATCCTGAAACAAACCGTTCATGCTTTGCGATGAGGAAATTTCCATTAAAAAGTCTTCGTGACAACACGCCGGTTTGTTGTATAAATATGCTTTGTGCAAAAAAGAAATACATAAGTAGCAGTAGCAACAATACTTTTATATTTATTTGTTCGGGTTGTATTTTATTATTTAGCCTTACTTAGCAAGAATAAAAGTAAATAATGTGTAAATTTAATTTCAATTTTTATAAAATCAAAAATAACGTCAGATGTTACATATTCTAAGTTAGAGAATCGAATAACTTTTTTAGGCCATTTTTTAAAATTATACTTACAAATAAAACTAAAGTAAACTGAACATATACATATTTGTTCATCATTTATGATTTTTCTTTCCGTTTCGGTTTACTTATAAAATCTTTTGTCAGTGGTTCTGCTTTGTCTAAAAATGTGAATAAATGATGAACCCTGTACTTAAAGATACAGGTGCGTGAAGACATTTAGTATCCCTTAGGGTTGTAGATAAAAAAACACACAAAAAATACACTTTTTTACCCAGCTTATGTGGCAACAAGACATTATTGTTTACTTACAATAAAGAAATTAGTTATGATTGACTATGTAACGATGTCGTAAGCGTAACTGTACATTTGTTGACAAAAGATCGAAAGTATGAATGCACTCGGTGAGGATCGAACTCGCTATAGTCGAAATTGAACGAGTACGAAATCTTAAATGTCAATACTCCTGCATTTTTTATATGTATCAGTATTTTTTATGTGAGTTTGTGCACGTGTTTTTAAAATTTAAAAAAAAAAACTGAGAAAAAAAAAAAGTTTCAACAACCTATTTTTATTAAAAAAAAGTTTTTAGTCAGAAGATTATTTTACGAACTTGGATCTTTTTCTCTCTTTTTTTTTTTTTCTCGTAGAAATTACTGACAATATTTCAATTTATACGGCTTATAGTGTTTATATTAGAAAATTATATATTTCTGGGATATTTGATATATCTTTTTTCCTGTTTCTATTTTTTAGTTTTATTTATTATTTTTTAAGGCATTTTTTTATATTTAAACACGTTAGACATTTATTGTTTTTTGTGTTTTAAGATTTTTGAAAGTGCAAAATAAAAGTAAAACCTAGTTTATGTAGATTGTATACAACATGTTTGGTACAGCAGAAGGCCAGATTAGAAGGAAGTAGAGAGAAATTGTACTGTCCTTCAAAATGAGGCAGTATTTGCCTTTCTTGAAAATCAGCATTCAAAATACTTTCACCTTACACTGGTGACAATATGGAACTACTTCAACTTCAGCCATGAGGCAGGCCCTCATAAATGTATAAGGTAGATACATAAGAATGTATATCCTATGTAAAGAAACATAACATTGACATAAGAGGGGAAGATTAGATTAAGTGACTAATAAAAAAACTAAAAACGAAAGTTACACTGTATATTATTTTATGTATAGATGTAGATATTTGTGTGTGTGAGTTAGGGGTACATGGTGGAATTTGGTTGGAGGAAATAAAGTATTTTCAAATCCATTCGAATAAAATTTAATCTTTTCTGGAATGTATTTCTCATTCTCTCTCTCTCTCTCTCTCTCTCAAAATTTGCTTTAAAATCCATGCATTTTTCTTTGTGCGTGTTATGGCTACTGCAATTCATATGCTTCTATTTACCAGAATAAACCGAAGATAAATGGGCAAAACACATTTCCATTATGACAGAAAATACTGTCTATAAGAATTGACTGAAATCAGTCAAATATTTTTATAAGTGATCATTTTATATATTTTTTAAAGAGCATTTTAATACACATAGAAATAACATTTTTTGATTATTTACCTATTAGCAGACTTTCACACAATGTAATTTTTAAAATGGGCATTTATCCTTAAACACTGCCAAACTTTACAGTTCTTTTTCACATTTTTCAAAAAAGGAATGCGCCAGCATGCAATAATTTATTTCCCTTTATTTATTAATTCATTCATTTTTTTTTTTTAATTCTCTGATCATTTATGTTAGAATTTTTATAACAACCAAGATGAATATATGGAATATCATATCTTCATCTAGAAAAAAGAAATAATTACAGAATATCAGTTTCAAAATGATTTCCAACAATTTCTATCCCAGGGGCTCATTATCATTAATGTCTATTAATATACCAGATATTAACAGCAATCCATTAATATTAATGTGTAGGATATTGATTATCACCTCAATTTATACCAGTTTCCATTAAACATGGAGAAATTTTAAAAGAATTTAGTAGATTTTAAAACCTTTTTTATATCTTAGATTTTATATGTATATAATATATATATGAGGAGGCATGGTGGAGTAATGGATAGCAGTTTGAATTGAGAAATTGGATGGCTGAGTTAGAATTCCAGTTGAATCCATTACATTCATTTACATACTAATTCTCTTGGGAAAGGTATGAATCCTCTTCTCTCCTCAGCTATGGGTAAATAGCAGGACAAATTGGGTTCTATAGCCTTGGATGGCAACTGGTCTACTGCAGAAAAAATGGCAACCTACTGTGGGAAAAAATCTGCCTCATGACGTATTGAAAGATACATGATTGCCTAAGCATGCATCACACATGGCACTTAACTGACTGATATATATATATACACACACACACACAATGCAATTTTCAAAGTGGGCATTTATTTTTAAATACTGCCAAACTCTATGGTTCTTTTTCAAATTTTTCAAAACCCAGAAGTGCCAGCATGCTGGAATCAACCAAAAGGTGTATAAGTGGGTGTAACTCTTTAAAACAGGAAGAACATGTGTGACAGATGAAAGTCTATTTGGTTGCCCATCAACATTGGGCATGGAAGAGAGGGTGGATGCCTTGATCAGGGAATGGCTGATGAATCATTTTAGCACAAGTGGCAGCAATTGTGGATATCAGCTATGGATCTGCACAAACCATAGGTGCATTATGACTTGGTGGGAGGGTACCCAAAAGTTTGTGTATAAACAAAGCAAGCAGTGGAAATATGGTACTGTGAGCAACCGAAAAGCTTCTTTTTGGTAGGGCTTGTTGAATGATACTAAGAGTGCATGGTTGGGTGACTATGTTGAAGAGTGACATATGAATCGGTTCTCCATCAGTGAAAATAAAGGTGTTGTGTGGAAATGTTTGTGTGTGTATTTTTTTTTCTCTCTCTCTCTCTCTATCTATCTATATATATATATATATATATATATATATTATATAATTTTTTTTCCTCTGTTTATATGTTATTTTTATAGATACAGTTATTTAAGTAAATGCTCTGTCTATAATAAAAAGTATTAATTACATTTACTGGCCTGAATCTCAGAGAAATTTCATAGAAAATACATATCATCTGACAGGAATCGAACCTGTATCCTACATGGGATGCTACACCATTTAGCTACAAAGGAAGCATCTGGTTAGCAAAGTCAAATTATTGTTTTTAAACAAACAAATTTCCCACAATCTTTCTCAAACAATCATATCTACTTGAAGTGTATTTTAATGTAAACAAATGACATATGAAATGGACTAAGTTCGATAACTATTTTAATATATTTTCTGTTTATAAATAATTGTTGGACTTAGTCCATATATATATATATATATATATATATATGTGTGTGTGTGTATTTTTCATTTATTAATCCAACGTATTTTTATTGATTGCTTAAACATTATTTTTAAGTATATTTGAGTAGATGCTCTGTTTTAATTTATTTCCATCTACCATCCTGAATATTCAAGAAATCTTTTTAGAAAAATATACACCCTCTAGCAGGATTCGAACCTGCGTCTCCAAGGGGAAACTATCATTAGATCTGATATGCCTTGGCCACGAAGAACCTGGTCAAACAAAAGCCTGAATAGTGCTTTTTTTCTCTAATATTCAGGCCGCTAGATGGAATTAAATAAAAACTGACATCTACTCAAATATGGGTATCCATTAAAAATAACATTTAAGCAATAAATTAAAGTGTGTGTGTGTGTGTGTGTCTCTGAAATTCAGATATAACTAAAAATATGCCTGTAAAAGGACAATATGAATAATGTTTAAGTTTTCCTTTTGTCTTTATACACATCTCTCTCTCATATATATATATATATATATATATATATAGAATCAGTCACTACAAGGAAAACTCAAACTACTTGATAGAAAGTGTTCAGATGAACTATATTTCTTCATTCCCCCAGTTCTAACCTTCATGGCTAAGACCTGCCATGCCACACACATTGTAGCAAACCACCCTTATTCCCTTTGTATCCCATTGGTGAGATGTAAGTTTCACTCAAACACCTTCATCCCAAAAACAACTGCTTTGTAGAACCAACTTCCAACAGGATGCTTCCCCAATCGCTACAATCCTAACTTGTTCAAATCTATGGTTAACCGTTATCTTCTCCACATATCCCCATTAAATATGCCTCTTACTCTGTAACACTATATCTCAAGTGGTTCTTGAGCCTTGTACAGGAAAAAAAAAAGGGGGGAAAAAGAAAAAAACTACTCTATTACAAAAGAAATAAACTGCAGTGTGTATCAGGTCTTAATATATGTAAAAATTTGATACATATATCTTTTGGTGCAGTCAAGCTCCCTGCAAACAATCTGCACATCACTTCAAGGATATGCATATAATTGAATCTGAAATGTTTTTCTAAAAAAAACATACTAGGATGTAACCAACAAAATCTTGTCTATCATTCTTGATAACAACTGAGTGATGGTCAAAAGTACACATACCAAAA